GTTCAGCAGTGATGTGGGATGTTTAAGGACTTGATCTCACTGGGATCATTTGTGGCCCAAATATATTTGTGGTTCTGTGACACCAAGCAAGACCTGCAAGAAATTTGGTGTATGTGTTGGAGCCTCTTGGGCTCCCAGCCAGAGACAGAATAAATTGTACATTATGGAACATCAACATAAATGGACTTCAGAAGTCTTATCCAATATTTATTGATCCCTTACTTTATTTATTTATTTTTTAAAATTTATTTTGTTTAATTTATTTATTTTTGGCTGCGTTGGGTCTTTGTTGCTGTGCGCGGGCTTTCTCTGGTTGCGGCGAGCAGGGCTACTCTTGGTTGCAGTGTGCGGACTTCTCATTGCGGTGGCTTCTCTTGTTGCAGAGCATGGGCTCTAGGCACGCGGGCTTCAGAAGTTGTGGCACGCGGGTTTAGTAGTTGTGGCGCACAGGCTCTAGAGTGCAGGCTCAGTAGTTGTGGTGCACGGGTTTAGTTGCTCCGCGGCATGTGGGATCTTCCCGGACCAGGGCTCGAACCCGTGTCCCCTGCATTGGCAGGCGGATTCTTAACCACTGCGCCACCAGGGAAGCCCCTGATCCCTTACTTTATACCCGGCATTCTGCTCAGCACAGGAGGCAGAGTGACTAAGACACAGTCTCTTCCATCTAGGAGCTCACAGGCTCACAGGAGAAGGCAAACATTTGAGCAGATTTGAGTTTGGGACTTTATCCTGAGGAGCCGTTGCAGGTGTTTGAGCTGATGAAAGATAAGAGTGAAATTCACACTCTGTAAATCTTCACTCTGTGAAGGATGGAACCGAGGAGGAGATTGATGCCTGGAAACAACCAGAAGATCATTATCGTTTCTAGCTGAGAGATCCTGCTGGTCTGGACTAACGGAGTAGCTGGGGTAAAGGGAGGTGGACAGCAGGACAGAACTACTAGGGACAAGGGCAAGAGTGGGGTTAGGGGAGGTAATAATGATACAGAAGATTAAAAATGTCATGGCCGCCATTTTGCATGTGTCAAGAGGTGGTTCCAATCAATGATTACTAATAGCGTATTACTTTTCCAAAGCAAAGAAGACAGAGTCCGCATACCCCACAGTCTTGCTTGTAAAATGTTTGCAAAGGTGTTCAGGTCCAAAGTTTCCAGCCTTCTGATAAGAACTCCATTTTAAATAAATAATGCATCCAAACCATGCAGTAATATATATGGGTATACACTGTAAAATAATGAGCATTTGGTAAGGTAAGGTAGTGGCTGAACGGTAGGCTGGAAGTTTGTTCCAAGTGTTAACCCTGGTACTTGCAAGCCTTGGACAATTGACTGAACTCTCCTGAGCCTCGGTGTTCTAATCTGTGAATATTAGGCCAGTAATATTACCTCATGGGTTTGTTGTGAGAAATAAGACTGAAGCATGTGAGCACTGCAGCCCTCGAGGCTGGCAGAGTAGCTACCGAAGGCTACTGACTTTTCTCCGTTTTCTCTCAGAGGATGTTTTAAATGTTGCACTTTCTTTTTTCTTCTCTGTGCTAATAAGCCTCACTTGACCTCGGACCCGGAGACCAATATAAAAATGTACTTGTGTAGTTGTCCTAATGTTTAAATCCCGTAAGGAGATTTCACATGAAATGCTTGATCTCCCGGCAAAAGGCGTTTACTGTTTCTCTCTTTGTTTTCAATGCAGGACGTCAGCTGCAATGAGATCACAGCCTTGCCTCAGCAGATAGGGCAACTGAAATCCCTACGAGAACTGAATGTCAGAAGAAATTACCTTAAAGTTCTACCACAAGGTAAAAAAAGAAAGAGGAAAAATGAATCAATCAAACAGGAGGCTTTTATTATTTTTTGTTTACCTTTGTGAAGAAGGTAGTCACGTTCGTGTGTGCCTATTAATATTAATTATAATTTGAATTTCATGTGCTGATAACAGAAAAGTTATATTCAAGTTGTAATTTTAGTCAGGGGTTCAGTAACAAAATCATAGCCCTGTATAAAGCTGTGTGTGTGTGTGTATGTGTGTGTATTAAGTTTGTTCAGGCTCGCATAACAAAGTACCACAGACTTGAGTGGTTGAAACAACAGAAATGTATTTTCCCGCAGTCTGGAGGCTGGAAGTCTGAGATCAGAGTGTTGGTCACTTTGGTTTTTCCCGAGCCCTCTCTCCTCGGCTTGTATCTTCTCCCTGCATCTTCCCTCTGTGTCTGTGTCCTAATCTCTTCTTCTTGTAAGGACACCCATCATACTGGATTAGGGCCCACACTAATGACCCCATTTTAACTCATTTACCCTTTAAAAACCCTGTCTCCAAATACAGTCACATTCTGAGGTACTGTGGGTCGGGGCTCCAACATATGAATTTGGGGGGCACACAATTCAACTCCTAACAGGAGGCAACATGAATTGCTTTTGGTATGGATGGACGTGTGATGTCCTGGAACATCCAGCCAATAGTTAGTTGCTGCACTTGGTCCTGCAGATCCGGAAGTCAGGGTTTGGGGCTTTGGGGATCTGGGAGCCCTGACTGGGAACCCTGAGTGTCTCGAATCGGTGCTTCAGGCGAGGGCATGCCTTTGCTGAAGTGAAGCTTGGGCTGATACCACTGGTTGTTTTGATGAATTTCTTGAAGCCTGGAGCAAGGATGGCTCCAGAGCCTCAGCATTGAGACTCGGTAAGAACACCAAGCCCCTCACACAGCCCCACCCAGGAGGCAAACACGGGCAAACCCTTCCCTGCAGCTCTGGGCTTCCATAGTGTGTCCCTCTGATATGTTGCGTTGAAGTTAAAATAAAAAGATATTCAATAAAAAAATTGTCAGGGACTTCCCTGGCTGTCTAGTGGTTAAGACTCCGTGTTTACACTTCAAGAGACATGGGTTCGATCCCTGGTTGGGGAACTAAGATCCTGCATGCAGCTCAGCCAAAAAAAAAAATTGTCAGTCAACTGTGCTTCAATAAAACAAAAATAAATTAAAAATAAAAATGATATATTTATTCAGGGCTTCCCTGGTGGCGCAGTGGTTGAGAGTCAGCCTGCCGATGCAGGGGACACGGATTCGTGCCCCGGTCCGGGAAGATCCCACATACCGCGGAGCTGCTGGGCCCGTGAGCCATGGCCTCTGAGTCTGTGCGTCCGGAGCCTGTGCTCCGCAACGGGAGAGGCCACAACAGTGAGAGGCCCACGTGCAGCAAAAAAAAAAAAGACATATTTATTCAGAAATGTTATACCATTAAGAACGGTGATAAGTAGCCTTGTAGATCATGCTGGATCTGAATTTCACATTTTGGGATCCTCGTTTGGACCTAATCAGGAATGAGTTGATGAACAGCAGGACACTGTATGCTTTCTCCAAAACATACGCTGGTTCTCAAAGATCACATTGGTTTCTATCATTTTCATGTAAGCACATTAGGATGCCTGATAAGCTAAAGCGTATATTTGGGAACAGTCAGCATTGGGTTAATCTGACTCTAATGCAGCTATTTGAGAGCCGCCTGATTTTTATTATTCTGTTCCTGCTTCATGATCTTTGGCTTGAAGTGCTTCATTATTCAAGGCAAGAAAATGGAGCTCAAGAAAGGGAAAGAACTTTATAACATGGAATGTGCTGTATAGATGGGAGTTTTAAGTGTTATCTGCCGTCTTCACCTTTCCCATGCTGGCTAGTATTCAAAGAAGAGTTAGAAACTATCTCGGCCTAAAGATTTATTACTTTATTACTTGAGATGACTTGGTATAAAAACATTGAGTTTTCATTTTGTCATTGTGCGGTTCCAGTTCTGAATGGATGAAATTGTTTTTCTTGGTTTGAGCAAGTATAGAGGGAAAACTCTTACTAACAGCAAATTTATAATCGTATAGCCTTTCGTAACATTAAAGAAAACTTTCATCTAAATTTAAGCTCTTAGGTTAATTATTGAGAAGTCATCACAAATTATTGAACTCTTGTTTTCAAAAGAAAAATTTTTAATCATTGAACAGCTTCCTGTAATGGTTTAGAAACATGTGGGAAGAAGATGCATCTGTAAAATCAAGATATTTGTTTCTCTCACCGCTCCTTGCTCTCTTAGCTTAAAAGCATTCCTTCTCCTAGAAGATCACTTACAAGTTTCTATACTTTTCATAATTATGTTTTCTCAGGCTTAATATTTTAATATACACTCGGAGCTAAAACGTCAGTTTACTGGAAAATCTTCTTTTAAAAAAAATCATTTCCAGAATATCAAGTTTCTTTTTGCTTTACTCTGGAGAACTCTGTTAACAAAAGAGCATTGATAATGCTCTCAGGCAGTGAATTTAAAGACTTTTCATATTTACTCACTTGTTTTTCCTCTTTAGTACCCCTCCTCATATGCTTTCAGTTTGAGGAGGGGGGAAAAGTTTGTGGCCTAATTGCCCACATCAATCTTGTGGTGGTTATACTACAACTAATGCAACGGGGAGACTCTATTTTGTTATTTCTGGCACCAGAATGGACAGAACATTAAAGTAGTCATTCATTGCCCCTCTTTGCAATGGAGAAAGAGGAGTGGGATTCCTTGTTCTTTTTAGTTTTTCTCTTTCCCCTTTTTTCCTGCTCTGTCTCTTTGGCTTTTTCTGAGCTGGAGTTATCATTTTCTCCTTCGTTTCCTTGTTGTGAAAATGTCAGATTCTAGCTTTCCTAAACTAAGATGGTAATTGTGTCCCCAACAGGCACTGAAAGGAATTGTCATTATAAAAACCATCTCTTACTTTATTTAACTGTAAGTCGCCTTCTTTCCCCTCCTGCTGTGTCTTCCAAGCACTTAGCTCTCTAGTCTTGCTTAAAAAGTCTTCATTTTAAGTGGCAAATTGCTGAAAAGCCAGAGTGCAGTTAAACTTCACCCCTGATTTGCCAGCCTAACTTGAGGGAGTCAAGTTAGCCATCGGAGAGATGGATTCATATTACTGGAAGTTATAGCAAGGAGATATTCTTTTTACATACAGTCCCCCTAATTCTCAGCCCTGTTTTCAAAATGAACTATTAACTGGAAAGATCTTACTTTCCCTTTCCCTTTGACTTTCTTGATTCCATGCCATCCTCTGGCTTCACCTCCTCTCTTCATCTCCCACTGCTCTCCATGTGTTTCTTCAAGGCAACCAGGACGAGTGAGACCTGAGGCAAATCACTTATCCCGCTATTGGTGGGAGAGCTGAGTTTGAGCAGAGAATTACTTGGGGCAATTTAAAAATTACACATCCAATTTGAATCAGAATTCAAAAATTCTAGTTAGAAAATTCCAATTCAAAAAGATACATGCACCCCAGTGTTCATAGCAGCACTGTTTACAATAGCGAAGACATGGAAGCAACCTAAATGTCCATCAATAGATGAATGGATAAAGAAGATGTAATGTGTACACACACACACACACACACAGAGACACACAGTGGAATACTACTCAGCCATAAACAAGGATGAAATAACGCCATTTGCAGCAACATGGATGGACCTAGAGATTATCATACCAAGCGAAGTCAGTCAGACAGAGAATGACCAATAATAATATATGATATCACTTATATGTGGAATCTTAAAAAATGATACAAATGAACTTATTTACAAAACAGAAACAGACTCAGATATAGAAAACAAATTTACGCTTACCAAAGGGGAAAGCGGGGGAGGGATTAATTAGGAGTTTGGGACTAGCAGATACACACTATTATATATGAAATAGATAAACAATAAAGACCTGGCAGGGAACTATATTCAATATCTTATAATAAACTATAATGGAAAAGAATCTGAAAAAGAATATATATCCACATATATATGTATAACTGAATCACTTTGCTGTACACCTGAAACTAACACAACATTGTAAATCAACTATGCTTCAATAAAAAAAATTTAAAAAGACACATCCTGAGTTTCTCGTACACAGCTGCCTGCCTATCATGGACCTGAGTTTGGGAGCTGCTGAGCTGATGCTCCTGTGTCTCTGTCCTTGCATTTCAATCCCATGACTCTTTTCTTTAATACAAAGTAGTTCACTAAGGTATGAAAGAAGGAAAGTCCCTTCCACACCCAGAGCGAGTTGAATTTGCAGAGACTGGTTGCTAAGTGAACCTTTGTTGGGGGAAATGAGGTAGTCTAGCTGAGTAACGTGAAAACCCTCCAGCAGTACAGGGGGAGCGGAGGGATAGTATGAATTCTTTCTCCAGGTCACTGCTTTCTGTTCCTCTTCCTCCTGTAGTCCCTGCCCTTCATCTGCTTGGGGATTCCTTGAGTATTTGAAAGCACCGTGTATCCTCCCTTACGGGGTTTCATAACAAACGTGGTGAGGCCCGTTCTGAAATGAACCCTCCGTAGCCTCTCACGTGGAGATCTTGGTGGTTTGCTCCGTGTCTCTCTACTCTGGCGTTGCTCAAGCGTCTTTGCTCTATGGAATATATTTGACTTGGTTTCTTGCAGCTGCCAATGTCGGTTGGAATACTTGAAATTACTGAGTGTTTGCTATGCCACTGGGTGGGGATTTTAAGCTAAATATAATGTTCTGTCTTGTTTGTGGAGCTACAGAAGACTTTTTTAAAGCAGTAGAATAAAGCCTAATCAAATCAGGATTACAGGGTCTGTTGCAAAGTTCCAAATTTGATAGCATTTCTTTTTTAAAGTGGAGTTAAACAATCAAGAACATATTTCTAGTAATTCGTTCTGAGATTCTGCCAGCCCACATACATGGAATGCATAAGAATATGTTGTAATTAACATATTATTCATAAGCTAGCAAGCTGTTTGAAAACAGTTTGAAGTTAAAACATAAGCATATCTTGTGTGGTGTGGCTTATGTGATTGTTTCACTGGAAAAAAAGCCTTTTTAAACAATAGGTGTTACATATGTCAAGTGTTTCCAGCTCGTATCAGAAATAACAACAAATTAAAAATTGTTGGGCCCCCCATGAAAGCTTTCCTCTCCTCTTTAGTAAAGTATTATATATACATAACTTATATTCCTAATACATAACTTGGTTTTAATTATGCTAAATGATATATTACCAGATGAGCAGAAAATTTTTGAATGTGTTTAGCCATTTAATCTTGTTGCTTTCTGAGTTTTTTTTTTCTTTCTTTCTTTCTTTTTTTTTTTTTTTTTTTTTTATTTTTTTTTTTTTTGTTTTTTTTTTTTTTTTTTTTTTTTTTTTTTTTTTTTTTTTTTTTTTTCTGTTCTTTTAGAGCTAGTAGATCTTCCCTTGGTAAAGTTTGACTTTTCCTGCAATAAAGTGCTCGTGATTCCCATTTGTTTTAGAGAGATGAAGCAGCTGCAAGTATTACTGCTTGAGAATAACCCTTTGCAGTCTCCTCCAGCACAGGTGAGGGGTCTCACGGCAAAGCTGTTGCCGGGGGGATAGGCTATCAATAGCATCTAAGCAACTCTCAGCAGAACTGGTTTGTTGATATTTTGCAGAATTAATGTATGGATACGATCATAAACAGTCACAATCTCTTAAAAAATGAAACCTCGTGTGAATCTGACTACAGTATGTTGTCTTCTGTGACATCAAAATTGTTTACCACCGTTTGCCTCACTGGTCACCGCAATCCCAGAATTACAATGTTTGATTATTTCACTTATTCAGTTATTACGTTTATCATTTTGTACATGCATTTGAATTTTTTTCATGGAGTGTAAGGATTACAAAAGGAGTAATAGATTCCTTACATTGAAGTTAGCTGGAAACTAGAGTTTAACCATTTTAAAATATTGTCAGTCATTTAGAGACAAGATTCAAGCTCAAATATTAAACTATGTGAGAACAGAATGAAGTATATATGCTTTCAGAATTGGAACATTACCAGGTTAGTTATCTGACGTATATACGTTTTACACTATTTATACTTAAATGTATTTCTGTTAGAATTTTGCAGTTTAGTGCAAGAGAAACTAGAAATTTCTTGAACATGGTTTTCTATTGAGGTAGAATTTGGAGGAAATGATTGCCTAAAATCTTACCTGTTTTGGAGAGGTCAAATTTGGTGGTCATCGTTGACGTGTTACTTAAAGTGAAAATGCAAAAACTAAAATATACAGAGTGAGATGTCTAGTGTTTACATTTTGTTTTGCCGTTAAAAATATATTTATTATTAATTTCTCCGTAGATTTGCACTAAGGGCAAAGTGCACATATTTAAGTATCTGAGCGTCCAAGCATGCCAGATTAAGACAACCGACTCCCTTTATCTCCACACCATGGAGAGGCCACATTTACACCAGCACGTGGAAGACGGGTGAGTGTGACCCCCCCTCGGCTAGAAGCCCCCGCTTAGAGTTTGCTTAGGCCAAGGCGCTCCAGGTAACTAACTCCAAAAATCCTTTTGTTTCACTCAGTCAATGCAGATTTATGCATCAGAGTCTCGAACACTTTTGGAATAAGAAAGGGAAAATTGATGCTGTTGATAACATTTTGGCATCTTTCAGGTTTCATCTACCCTCTCCTAATCAAGAATCAGTCCTTCCTGAGTGCAACATATGTGTGTGTGCACATATTATAAATAAGATCTATAATATAAATATATGTATTTTTTACCTATCAGTTAAAACAACCACATCAAACTGAGACATGGTTTTTTGCTGTTTTAAAAAAAAAATTTTGGGGGGGTATAGTTGATTTACAATGTTGTGTTAGAGACATGGTTTTTTTTAGTTAATTTTTAATATGCTTCCAGAACATTGTTAAGAAAAAATGCAGACTTTATTTTTTTTAATTGTCTTTTAAAAATGCACTGTGCATAGTTTTTGCCATTTCCTGTTGAGAATGGAAGTTTTAGAATCGTTTAACATGTCCTTGGCCAGTTTATGGTGTAAACTGGGCCTTGAATTTTCGGAGAACAAAATTCTCACACTGAACACACTTGTAGAAATGCAGGTTGTTTTTGAAATGCCTTCATTGCAGAAATCTTTCTTGAACTTTTTACTAAAAAAAGTAAATATACTATAGTGACTTAAAATCTCAGCCTACCCTAATGGTACCTTTATATAATGCTTAAAATATGTATTCATTACTTTATTGTTTTAAACATACTATCAAATTTACTTAGTCACTGAATAAAAGTTTACAGAATTATTGAAAGTTAGGAAATTTCATAACCTAAGAGGTAAAAGCAATTGGTAGTTTTTGCTTTTTCATATGCTAGAATCAATAAAATGAGAAAATTATTAACTGTTTCAAAGAACGGGCCACTCAGAGTATAAATCCATGAAACTCTGAACACAAAGAATTTATATTGGACCATATTTAGACGGTACAAGTATCTGATTTTCATTAGGCCCTTGTCTTAACAACTTTCAATACTGGGCGGATTTGTTGTCTTTTGGTAATAATAAAAATTTGTTTAGTAAAGTCATTATTTGAATATAAGTTGATGTCCCTTGTTGTGAACTTTGTGATTTTAATTTTTTCAAAATGAATTCAATATCGATGGCATCAAACCCAGCAAGAAGGATTCTGACTCGGGCGTTGGGAGTGATAATGGAGACAAGCGATTATCTGCCACAGAGGTAAATTCATGATCAGATTTTTTTCCTTTTGCGCTTCTAGATATATCTACCTGCATTTGCTGTACTCCTTTCGGATAAAAGGCAGTTGCATGAGAACACGTGATAATGCTTGTGAAAGTTATTTGAAATCCTCTGTTATGCAAATATTAACTGTTAGCTTTTTCTGAATCTTTAATGTTTTGTAAATGTCTCAAGAATAGAGTCCCTATCTCCTTCCCCTCCTACCACACCCCTCACATTATCTGGAATATTCTTGCATGCTTAATAAATATTATGAAATGACTAAGTGGTGTGCAAGAACCCGGAAGGCATTTTTATAACTATGTTTGTTTTTAAGTTACAGAGTAACTTAGGAAAAAGTTGTTATATGCCTGCATAAATGTTAAGGAATCAAATGTACATTGCCTTTTTTTTTAACATCTTTATTGGATTATAATTGCTTTACAATGGTGTGTTAGTTTCTGCTGTATCACAAAGTGAATCAGCTTTACGTATACATATATCCCCATATCCCCTCCCTCTTGCGTCTCCCTCCCACCCTCCCTATCCCACCTCTCTAGGTGGACACAAAGCACCGAGCTGATCTCCCTGTGCTATGCGGCTGCTTCCCACTATAAATGTACATTGCGTTTTACCCACAGGAAATGCGTTTTTGAGTAGCCATAATTTTTCTATCAATATTTGTTTTCCCGAAATTCTTAGATTGTGTTGTTTTCAGGTAATTGGATAAAAGTTTGGTTATTTGTGAGCTAAGAGGCCTCCCACCCTGGATCTTTGTAAAGTGGTTAGATATAGCTCAATTAGAACATTTGTTATCTTATTTATAGTCTATTAGGTTCCCTAAAATCTTTCACTAATAAACCATTAAATGGGGTTTATTGACCAGTAGAGCTAGGAGGGATAGCTGGAGTAGGGGATGTATGTATTATCAGGCCTTCCTTTTTTGAGGGAACTTACTGAGTTTTTGTGGTTATTGAGTTTTGAAACATTGTAATACTCTTTGACGATGTACTCAGTAGGTCAATTACCCTGTGGAAGAAATCCACATTTTCACTATATGTAAGTCCAGGAAAATTGCCTTTTCCCTGTTCCCTTAAGGCCTTTGAGGTTTAATATGTAGCTAAGATATTCGAATTTATTTTCCACAAAATACTTCACAAAGCGCTAGGATACCTTAAAATCTTTCTAATACAGAATATTTCAAAAGGAAAAAGAGTAATAGGCAGAAAAAGAAGGCCAGTATCAGTAAAATAAAAGTACCCTCATGAACCTACATGAATAGTTTACTATGATTCCCTGGGGGAGAAAATACTCAACACATTGCTTTACAAGTTGTATTTAATTCTACTCCCTTAACTTTATTAAAACTCATAAGTCCCCTGAAATAGCCCTTTGTTTCAGAAATTACTCACCCGAGCTTACTTTCTGTTAAATTAAAACAGACTCTGCCTTATCCTTTATCTGCCTTCTAAGGATAATTAAGTTCATTAATAAAACAGTACACAAAGAACTTCATTATCCTTTTGTTCTCACTTAGTATAAGTAGGATGCTAATATTCTAAAAGGAGGCCAAGGGTTTATTTTCTTCCTTTTAACTAGATGCATATCTTGGAATTTCGCTAATAAGTTTTTAAGATGGGAGGAGGGTGGAAGGAAGGACTACAGAAAGGATTATGTTCAACAGAATGAAGTGTATACAGTTTCCCTATGGCTTTTTTTTTTTTTTTTTTTTTTTT